GAGAAGAAAAGCAGTTGTTTTTGGTTAAATTTAATTAAATGTGATGGCATTGTCACAGGTTTAGGATTACAATAAGGATTTAAGGTTGTGTTTAAACTATAACAGCCTTTTGTCTTTGGACTTGTGAAGTTAATGAACTTCGATCAGTGTATGAAGTGTCCACAACAGTAAATTACTGAAGTAGGTTAGGTAGCCAAGAAAAGAAAATGAGAAAAATTTGTGAACTAGGGCTGCAAATAATAATTATTTTCACTATCAATTCATCTGCAAATTATTTTGTCAATCGATAGATTGTTTGAGCAATAAAATGTCAGAAAATAGTTAAAATACACAGACTATCACATAAGACAAGGAAAAGCAGTAATTACTTAAATTACTGCTGTAAAGAAATCTTTGAAGTGAACTGTCACAGATTTCAGGTGTCTAGGGAAAAGAAAGAAGTTGTTTAGATTTTGTCAAGAGATGGATCACTTCATTCCAACATTAATAAGAGACATTTTCAACCTTATCTGCAACACCTAGAAAGAGGTGTTTGCAGAAAAACAGACTCTGAAAAGCACATTTAAAACATTATTGGATTGTTTGTACATTATCCCTAAAATACTCAATGTGCTTCCAGTTTGGATATGCCTTCCTGTTTATGGAACACAAGCTTCTCGTTCTGTAATATACTGTATTTCCTGCGGACAACACACTGTCACATTGCACTTAATGTGATCAGCAGTCACCACAAGTGTTGCCAGGTCCACAACACAGACTTCATACTTAACTACATAATAGATTTCACAAAGTTACAATAATAATAAATAATACAATGAAAAAATGTATGAAAGAAGGAAATGTTGAATGTACAATTAACAAATGGAAAAAAAAAAGTATGAGACATGAACGACAGTGGTGACATTCATGGCATAGAGCAGCTAAAAGCCCACTGACTGTGCTGGCATTCGAGAAAAAAAAAAAGAGTATCCATGGCCAGCAAAGGTGACAATGATATCTGCTCAGAATATCCAACTTCATTAGCCCGAACCTCAAAATAGCGCATCCAGTAGTAGTATGTGCATGGTGAAAGAGGACTATATTGGTTAAAAGAAAAAAGGACCACATCCTCTCAGCATCTGGAGATGTTGTGAGGGGGTAGCTGGAGGTTGGAAATGTCACTGACAGTTCCCAAACTCGGGAGAACAAAGCACGCTTATTCATCATTGAACTTTTGCCCAAGAAGTATGTGCACTCAGACACCCACAAACACTTAAGTTGCCTCCGTCGTAGCCATAAAATTTACATTCATTCAGAGAGAGAGCAGCCTTAAATCTCCTAGAATTGTAATACCTGTGTATGTAATTAAAACAAATGAAAATAATAACAGCAAGAAGGGGAAGGAAACACAAATCCTTTCTAGAAATGTGAGCAGACATACCAAGGTCTGCAATGGCACCAGCATTCTCTACTAATTCCCGAAGCCCACTGGCACTGGTGCAGAGAGTGAAAGGGACGCATATGTAGCTTTACTGTCAAGAAAATCACTGGATCTATACATTGTTTGGACTTAACGCATAATCCTTTCCATTGATAAAATTATGTTGAGTGTGCCTGGCTGGAAATCCACAAGTACAGGGCTTCAGCACACATGCTTTTTCCCTTCTCTGGTTTTCCTTTAATTTGCAAATCTTGTAATCTAAGCCTAGAGCTGACTGAACCAACTTCTAAACCAGCACCGCTGTAGCGGCCAAGGCTCCAATCTGTTTTCCATTTAAGTGTCAAGACGGCATCCTTTTTGGTGGTTAACAAAATCTGTTATTTCAAAATGATTATATGCTAAAAATTGTGTGAGGACTTTAGTAAGTTTATGAACAGGCCCAATGGAAAGTACTGCGCCGCACCCGGAAGCCTTTTTCCTTCTCGTCTTTGACCAGAGTGTTATTTACCAAGCACTTCTGTAGGGGGAAGAACCAGGCTGTGCCATTCAGCCAGAGGTCAGGGTTTCTGCTTTTCAACACAGTGCATGTTTTCAGCATTAGTGTCGAGCGACGCCTGGATGATTCGCCAAACCGTCAAAACGCTGCCTGTCTCAGTGTCAGCGAGGACATAGGAAAAGCAGAAGCAACAGTAACGGCGTCAGAGAGACAGGGGCGGCAGTCCCTGGAAAACATCAAGAAGGTGGTCTCCATCAAGACCCAGCTGAAGACAGACTTCCTTATTTCATTTCCCCGGGAGGATATATTGAGTTAAATTTTGTGTTGCTCTGGAAGAGCAGCTTGAGTAAATGGGGGAAGAGGGAGAGGGGAAGGCATGGATCGGGTATGAAGAGGTGCCTTGGGGTCTGTCATTTTTAAAATTCACTTTCTTTCACTTAACAGAGACATGACATTCCCGATTCCAACTCAGAATCCCAGGGATCTACACATCTGTTTGGTATCCTTTGTCTGCCTATGGGGCGTTCAGGTACTGCTTGAATTCTAACCATAGTGCCACTAAGAATCCATGATTCACAGTCACTAAGCCCACATCACTGGCTCAGCTCCAGTTGGGTGCATGTGAACGGTTCATAACAAGAAGTTGGGTGTCCTTTGATGCCTCTTATTATTAACAGAAAATTACTTTCAGATGTAGGATTTGTACTTCATAACATAAGGAGTAAAACACTTTCCACCCCCTTCTGCACTTTTTATAGACCAAATGTCATGAGGATGGGTCATTCCAGAAGCACATAGAGGTTACTTTAGTTTCTCTCCTTTTGGTCAATAGCAATCTCTGTATTTTCAGGGCTGATCCACTGAAACTAACACACTTACACTCTCTGGCCACTTCATTGTCACTGAGAGGTGTTAGCTCAACTTACTTACTTTGTAGTTAGTAGTGGTGTTGTACTGGACTGCATTATATTATAAGATTAAATATGTTTCTAATGTTCTCAAGCTTCAAAAGAATGCTCAATTTTATTCAAAAGGACAGGTTCTTGATTTGGTTTGCTGTGTCCACATCTGCAATGCTGTCAGTCAAAGCTCTGAGTGTGTGTTAAGAACAGATGAGATTTCCAATTTTAATGACAAAAACAGACAATACTCATGTCATGAAGGCGGAGTGAAAATATAAAATCTTGGGGTTGCAATATTAAAAAAAAAATTAAAGATGCTCTAATCAATGTTTTTATATAAACAATGGATCTAATTAGAGCTTTGACTGGGCCCCCCCAAAAAAAGAAATCAAAGCCTGACCCCAACCAAAATTTCCACTTGAAAAAAAGTTCATTACAAGCTAAAGTTACCTACATTGTGAATATTTTATAGTGAGAACTATTATAAAAATGAATAAATACCAAATAGACGTATGCATTGTTAATAAAATATTAAATATATGAAAGAAAAAAATGTAATCTCATCGTGTCTGAGCCCGACCTATGGCAGCATTTTGGGCCCAGGTTTTTCCTGCATCTTTCAGCTTATTGTTTTGGTTTTACAGCCCATAGCTTCACTTTTTCGGTTCCCTCTTAGCGCTCTCGCCAATATAGTTTTCACCATCAATTGTTTTCAACCAAAAACCTCTAACAAACCCACTGTATGCTACCTGCCAAGTACTAAACAGCAAGCTAGTGACAAGCTGGTCAGCAAGGTTGGTGAAAACCAATGGAGTAAATATTTGTTTTTTTCACTCATCAGGTGGACACAAACAAAATATTGGATAAAAGCTAATGTTTCCCTGTGCCTGCTAGATGTGACAGGCAACACTTTGCCAACAAATTGGCCATATTAACAATGATCAATGTTGTGCTTGGCGACAAATTTAGGGTGTATGAATTTGTAAAATATGGATGTGTTCACACAAAAAGAAACACGGATTCACAACGTTTTAACAAAAATAAATCTGTTTTTTCTCTGTCTCATAGCAAAGAGCAGTGTCTAAACATTCTGGCAGCAGCTTCTTGTTTTTATCCAGTGCTGACCGGTGTTTTTACCTTTCATATCAGCCATGACTAATTAACGTTAATTCTTTGAGTAGCGTGATGGAACACTCTGTGACACTTTACAATGAGAGTGGATTGAGTGTTACTGTAGTTTCAACAACTCCGAAAGAATGATACATCTTCTCTCTAGCTGATTGCATAACATCACTTCCACAAGTTGCGTTCTCTGGTTAAACTTTCATTCAAGTCAGTAATTTCAATAGTGATCAATAACTAAAACCAACCAAATTAACTTTTTAGTTTTGAACTAGGACCTTCAGCATTTGGATCAAGTACCTTGTGAAGAACAAGGTATGTCAGATTTAGAATTGGGATTTATTGGAACACCCATAGTTTTTACTGTTCTTTCAGAGTAGTTCATAGAGTTTCATGTATAGTTGTTAAACACCTCAAATTACATTCAAAGTCATAATTCCAAAATGTGCTAAATTTAGCCAGAATGACCACTTCATTATTTAGTCTAATACAGCCATTGTGTCAGCTATTGTCTGTAGGGTACGGACTTGATTTTGGCCTAACTAGTCATGCATGATGCACAACAAGGTGTCATTATTTAATAGGTGAGGGAGTTAACTTAAAATGAATTGATAGCACACATTCCATCACAGTTAAAAAGTATTCTTCTTCTTCAACACATGGCTTCTGGCATCACTCATGGTTTAATTTAAGGCCCCTTTGTCTTTTCAACTTAATGCTTCAGATAAATACATATAACTCAAAGGCATGTTTGCCTTAATTGCTACATGTACTGGGAAATTGTGCTGTTGTTTTTATTGTTTATTTTGACCCATTTTGTGCAGCTTAAATTGGTTTATTTATATTTGCTAGTGTAACACAACCAATATTGGCTTCAAATCTTCCATTCCAGCCAAACATAATTGCAAGAGCAGTAACTCATATCTGGTTGATGGTGTGCTAATCAGTGACTAAAACTGCTATAGTGTTAGGTTGGAATCTTCAGGACTTGCAGTAGCACATAATAGAAGACAGAGGGCTTTATCCATTCAAAAAATCTAAGATCCTGTTGAGAACTCACCCAGAGGACCCTGTGCTCTTGCAAACCCCCAGCAGGGGCCTCTTGTCAGCAAAACTGTCCGTCTTCAGAGGACCTGAGGTGGAAGAGGAGTCATAGAAAGAGGCAGATGAGAAACAGAATCATCTGCACACAACAAAGAGGGACATTCTTTAAACGAACATGTGAGGCCTCTACTGCTGCCCACCCTCATTCAACAGGCAGCCTATTACCATGACAGGAAATGTGCTGATTACATTACTACTGTTGCCCTGTAATTCAATTATGGTCCCAAACATTTTTGATGAATGGAGAATTTTTTTCCAAAATCAGGCCTTATTTTGCAAGTTAGTGGATAGGCCAAAACATGGAATCCACATACTGTATAGACTTTGGGTTTCTACCTTTTCCTGGCCCTCCACTGTGTGAGCTTTTCAAAGGACACTTGGGGAAAAAACTTTGCCTTTCTCAAGACAAAGCTGGGGAAAAATACAGAAAAATATGTAACAGAGCTGAAATGAGCTGGAGAAATCTCCTGAATGCTGCGAAAGTGAGTAAGATTTCCTGTCTATCTCCTTGTTTGTTTTGGGGTTTCAGGGTGGAATTACAGCATGGTAAAAAAAAAAAAAAAAACAGCAGGCATATTTATAAAAATTAAGAGAAAACATGTTGTATTAAGTGTACCGATCCCATATTTTCCCTGATTGTCTCATTCTTGAAGACGGACGGCGGATCAGGGGATTGAGAGGATGGGGGTGCTTAGATTGAAGAAGATGTTACCCTTTAGAAGACTGTAATTTGAGGCTTGACAGTAATCAGGCTGAGTTCCTGTGGTATGGCATGAGAGCAAAAGTGCCTTCTATACCAGCCTTTAACACTCCCGACAGGGTCCTTTCTGCTTTCATGTTTCTGTCATCAGACATCATTCCCAGTCAAGATATTGAGCTGTTACATAAATATGACTCTCGGAGACTTAGTGAAATGGCACATTTACTAAAATAAACTTTCTGGGATAAAATGCAACATTTAATGAATAGAAAGACTTTGATTTCATCACCACTGTAATCGACAGTAATTGAAGCAAAGTCCCGTCTTCCAAGTGGACTTCTGCATGTTTCAATGTAACAGAGGGGATGGGTGTATGTTTATAACATGGCTTGAATAATTGCAGACAACATGCTTATTGTTAAATTTCACAGAATTACTTTTACAGTGTGGGAGTGTCCCAAGTGTAGCTCTATTGTGAAGACATACAAACTCCACTGAAAAAGAGCACAAAGAGCTACAGTACATATTATATATATTCACATTTCCTCAATACTCATTTGTTATCAATCAAGGGAACAGTGTTGCCTCATTTTCCAAGACAACGGAAGATCATAGATTGTAAACTCCAAAGAGGATGTGGATAAACGCATTGACTCCCCTTGGAAAACCAGTACTTCCTCTCTATTCTAGGAAAGGGGAACCTAGCCTTATTATAATCAACACCTATTTTCGGGTCTTTCTAAGTCCGCCCACCCATGGCCTCGCATCCCAGACAATTGGCCTTTTAATGGCTCACCACAGTGCAACACTGTTTGCGCCCTAGCAGATTGCAATCAGTGTCCTTCCCTCCAGTAGTACAATTCATATTTATTTTCTGCTGAGAGAATTGCTCCCCTCATGTGTTGGGGCTATCTGCTGCTTCTTATTACTGTGGTTTGCTTTCATCCACTTCCAGCGTTCTTCAAATGCTGCCATTGTGTGTTGTTGAAATCTGCCAAAAGACCGGAACAGGCATGGAGAACAAAAAGGCGTTTTTCTCACCAAAAAAAATGCCACAGAGCAGCGGGGGAATATGGCAGCTTTCACAGCACTGATTGACACCTGCAGAGATGAAATTTAAACTTCATGTCTGGAAAGGATCTAATCAGTGGAACAACTAAACCATTTGCACCGTAGCTTTGAGGATATAAACACTGGTATTCATAAGGCATTCAACTTTCCAGGGTCAACACTGTGACTATTTTACCATTTGAGGAGACATGATGACAGATAGGATAACAAAATGGAGAAACAGGATTAAAATAAACTGTTGTGAAAACAGAAACTTTAATATATACCTTCACACAACTTGGTGTGCATTGTTTCTTTGAAAAGAAGCTTTTCTATATAAACAGAAGGATTTTTACTGAACATTTGGTTGGGACTAGGAACAATAATTGCAGCTTATCTAAAACTTTATGACTGGGACAATACATTCTGTTAAATAGATAAGGACTTTGATTTGAAAGCAATCTTCAATATATGTGTTCTCAAATATACGATTAGTCATTACAGCAACTGAAGACGTGAAACTTGAAAGAATCAAATCAATATTAACAATATTTTTTCAGTCAGCAAATTACCAAATGCTACCAAAGAAACACGGTAATTCCTGCTGTTTAAAATGTTATTTAGGAATGAGAAGACAATTTCTGTACATGGTTTTCCACATGCTCTGTCTAGCGTCTTCTTAAAATGTTGAAACACTTCAGACAATATTTTTCGAATGTCGCAAATGTCAGTGTCAAGTCCATCCTCTCACTACAAGGCTATTCCTAGATATGCACACCTACGAAGTTAACCTGTTTTCAAATCGTATTACACACTGTTTTTTCTTCTATCTCACCTGTGAAGATATTTTAAGCCCCAGCTGTCACTCCCAACTTCCTAAAGCTCAGAGTCAGTGCTCAGTGCCAGCAGCTGTGCTCGGCACCTTTACAGGTTGCGCACCTGTACAGTTCACTCCACCTTCTGCACTCTGCTAGATTACTGCACGCCAGCAGTTTTTCCAGATCCATTGAGGGTGAGATTTTGAGATACAAAACACATTGGGAGGTTTTCTGTCAGTTCTTTGAATGTCATTCTCAGAACAGACGGATAATGACAGGACTCAGATAAAGAATTTTAACAAAGTTGGATGGCATGCCAGAATAAAGCTGCAGTAGGTAAAAAGGTTTATAAAAAAAACTTTTTGTCATATTTTCTGAAACTTTCTCTATACCCTGACAGTAGTACATGAGACAGATAATCTGTGAAACAAATCAGGTTCCTCTGGCTCCTCCTAGTGTTCCCGATGACATTTGCAATAATCCACCGGGCCTGACCAAAACATCCTATCAGAGCCAAGCAAACTAGAAAGACGCTTTGGGTTTGTGGCTTGAAGATAGTGAATTGCTGAATTGCCTCATCCCCAGGTTGGCAAATACCAGTCAGTCTTTCTAGCTATCATGCTTGTCGGGGTGACTGTCATGACAAGCAAGTTTTGTCCAATAATACAAAAATGATGTGATGCTAAACTGAGCTGACATGATATTATCATAAGTCAAGTTTCCATTAAAATTAAACTGAATTTCTCTGTTACTATTGCTTTTCATCATTACAAAACTTTACCATCTCAGCCAAGTGCTAAACTTTTCGGTGATATTTTAATATTTTTAATTTCCAGTATTATAGTATACTTTTTTTTGTTATGCACAAATGCAAAACATGTCTAAAAACGTGGATGGAAAAACATTTATTGACTCCTTTAAAAGGTCATGGAAACATGGAGCCAGTGAGTAGAAGAGTAGAAGATGGGACAGGACCCAGCCAGTCAGATACTGAAGGCATCCACGCTCAAATACTCTTATTCTGTTACATATCATCAATTTGTTATAGTCGATGCATTCAAGGGGTTAATTAATGATGACCTGTTGTAATCTAATATTTAATGTACCCACATTTCTCCGTCCTTTCTTGTCGACTTCTGCATACATTAGTTGATTCCGACTTTCCCAGAATGACTTTTGCCACTTACTATTAATGCAACATGTCTTCTGGAAGCATTACATTATTGTTTATTGATAGAAGAATTGGTATCTCTCCCTCTTCTATTTAAGATGTCTCCCTGCAGCAGCTACAAAGAAGTCCTTACTGTTTTAAGACAGACTGACATCTAAAAATTTAATTTATTTTTTATGTTTTGGGACATTAGGCAGCACCAGAAATAGTATCAGGAAGACAAATCCTGGGTAAAAACGTGGTATAGGTTACAATTAATAAATGTAAACAGAGAATGCAAAGAGCATCCATGACATGTACGTTTACCTAAACAAAATATTAAAGAATCTTAAAGAGAAGACTTAGATTTAGAGGGGTTAGAGGGAGACTGCTAACAGAACAGTGAAGGCACAGTGAGAAGTTTCCAGCAGAGCTTTGGCAGACAGAAAGCACTGACTTCAGAGGCTTGCCACCGCTGACTGAGAACAGGCCAACACTAATCGTAGATTGACTTCAACATTAGGATGAGACAGCATGGAGCACTCTTTAATTTTAATGATATAGCGCCACTTAGAATGCCCACAACCCAAACTGCATTAGGACGTGCCATACGAAATGTAATTTTAAGTGTTGACCTTGAATGCTGAAATCAAGTTAACCAAAGCTTTTTTTTCCAGGACAGACATTTAAACTTATCCTGAAAAGACACTTCAGAGGACTCACAAAGAAAATGTGTTCCCCTGCCATATCCCTTCCACGTTTGAGGATTAGAGAGATAAATCTGGTGTTAAAAAATAAAGCTAAGGGAGCATTTGCGGTCTGCCTTAATGTGGTGAGACAAGGTGAACAAGGGCTCCAGTCTAGTTTCATGTATAGTTGTTGTTATGTTGTCTTGGAATTGAATAGTTGCCAAACAGATGCTGTGATGTGGCTCTTAAAGGAATAGTTTGACATTTTGTGCAATTAGATTATTAAAACCACAAATTCTCATGTTTATTCAAAGTAAAAAAAAGATTAGAGTAGCAGTCGTGAGTAGAGTACCGAAAATAATTACTCAAGTAAAAGTACAATTAGTCCTATAAAAATCACTTAAGTAGAAGTGAAAATTGCTGAGTTACTTGATAGACTTTTGGATAAAAAATGTGGCCAGATGAGGTCAGGGATTGTTGCTGGAAGCTGCCTCTTGTTCTGGGCTTTGCTCCATCATCATCATCACAACTTAGGGAAAAGAGGTTTCAATGTAGCGCAACAAAAAGTCTCAAAAATATACTCAAGTAAAGAGTAGAAGCACAGTTTGAAAAAAAGGAACATGCAAAGTACTAGTTCCTTAAAAACATTTTTTTTTTTACTCATGTGCGTTCCCGTGACGTGTTACTAGCCACCCCTGGTTAGTAGGTGGACAGAGCCAGGCTAGGCTAGCTAGAGTGGCATCTTCTCATTTAACTCTTGGCAACAAAGAGAATAAGCATATTTATGTTGAACTATTGCTTTCTAAAATATATTTCAACTGACAAAGGCTATTATTATTATGAAGTCGAACAAATTAAATGTAATAACATCATTCAAACAGTAGGGTTTTGTAGGAGAAATTCAGTTTTTATAGAAAGATACCAACACCACAACAAAGAATCATCTGAAATGTACTTGTCAGGCTGGAAAACCTTGAGGGTGCAGCATTTACAGCCTTCTGGAGAGGTCGGCAATATTACCAATTGAAAGCAATATGCAGATAAACTGATCAAAGCCTTATTTGAAGTTAGAATACGAAGTGTGTGCTTTGGAGTTTGTGGTTTTGTTTGCAGGCGAGGTACTGAAGATACTCACTGATATGAGGAGCTGGCAGAATGCGAGCAGCTCGCACAGGACCGTGGCGCACCGAGAACAGCTCTTGGGCCTCCCCGACCAACTGAAAGAAAAGATTTGAATTAAAGATAACGGAAAAGTCCACATATCCATTAGAGGAAATACTTAATACAGACATTAGAGGTACAGTTATGTTTAACCACATATTCAGGCCCATTCATAGAAGGCACACTTCTAAGGCCTTTTTGTCCTGTTTTTTGCAGTCTGATGTTAAGTGTGTCTGCAAACATAACCTTTATTTGATCTTAAGAAGTACACCTTGGGACAACTATGCTTTTTCTGTACCCTGCAAAATAAAGTATGAAATAACCATGAAGGATATAAGCCTCAGGAGGTTTCAGTGCAACAACAAAAGCACAAGGACAAAAATTTATTTGTTCACACTGTAAGAAAAATAATCTATTCCAACTGTGTGAAACTGGTTTTTCATAGACAGAGACAGGGGAGGAAGGGAGGGAGGACGGGGGAACAAGGGCGGTCCAGCGGTTGAAGTTCCAGCCAAACCACAAAGTAAAACCTACTGAGCGCAGAATAAAAGGCCCAGTGGCATCGCAATGCAAACGAGCTGCCTACACTCACTGTGACAGAGCCAACACGGAAGGGTTAGACATGGGTTAATGCCAAGTGGGCAGAAGCCCATGATGTCTCTGTCCTAGTCGGACTGTAAAGCATATCAAACACTCTCACCAGTGTTTCCAACAGATCTTACCATCTCCTAAGATTACCTTATGTTTTTAACTGCATGATCATAAAAGGATATTTCCCCAAATGCCCTTTGACCACTCCATAAACTTTTTGCTGTCAAAGTAACAAGTCAACTACTGAATATTTGGGCATGCTTATGATTGTGTGGCCACACCCAGTACTCCGAACACATCATTCTGGTCTGCTACATCTAACAGTGGTGCCGATTTCTTACCTCTTCAATAATACATATTCCCCATGCATGATATTTTCGTATGACAGTGCAAAAGAAGGTGTCTAGAAGATGACCTTGATCTTTGATTGTGACACACACCAACACTTTACTTTATAGCAGAGATACTAAATGTACTAAGCCCCCCTCCACTCAGAAATCAGTGTTTCTTCTTGTCCCTAAAGTGTGATGTTTGAATGATGTGTGTGCAGAGTTTTACACTAGAAGGATGTTTTCAAATTAAGAAAACTTTACATATTCATAGATTCAGAAATGTTTAATGAGGTAGAAGGATTTGACATTTTTAAAGGATTTTAATGTGGAAATGATACTCTTTTGGGTGGAAAAAAATATATCAGACACACATTATTATTCCAAGCAGACTATTGGTATATGTGTGTGAAAACATGTCTAGACTGGCTCTCAAATAACATAAATGAGAAAAATGAATGAACATTACGATTGTTGATGTGGCAGAATAAGGTACCCTTATACCTTCTCTGATCTAATCCTTTCTTGCAGTGCTACCAGGCAGGATCACTACACTGGAGCTAGCATGTTTTGACTTGTGATGGTGCCTGATATTAGCAATACTTGCATACAGCAATTGTTATTTGGCAAATTAAACACAGTGGTTTTGGATCGGTATTACGTGGCGAAGTAAAGGGAAATTCAGTTGCCATTTTTCTCGTCAACTTTTGGACGTTTGCTGTCTTCACTCATCTTTTCCAAAAAGAAAATCCTGGCACAGCAGATCTGTGCGAGTCAGAAATCAAGTGTCACCGCTCCTGCACATTGCACAGATTGCTGATAAGCTAATATCCAACTTTCCAAGTAATAGCCAAGGGACATTACTGAACATTTACTAAGTGGTATAAACAAACTAGAAGAAATGATTTTCACTGTGAATTAGAAAACTGTCGGTAGACCACCTGGCACCCTATTGCGGGCCACATTTCTATCACTGCTCTATAGCTTATTTTGTGAATTTGTGGGTGTTAACAACCACCAGTTTGCATACACATACAAGCTGATTCAGGTAATTTTATACTAAATGTGTAAATATGACTTCTATTAGACCAAAAACAGAAATAAAAGATTCTACATTTCTTTCTTTCCTCTGAACACAAAGCAGCTGTACAAGAACTTAAAACAAAGTTTACAATTAGCTAGGTTACTTATTTGAATCAAATGTCTAATTCAAGTATAAGTAACCAAACCTAAGACTCAGAGCAAGCATTCAATGCCAACTTAAGTACTTAAGAATACCCATTTCTAGCCTGATGATCAGACTTAATTGCCATTTCATTTTGACATCAGTACCCAACCCCATCTGTCAACATGTAGCCAGTTATTTAAGCATTATATCAAAATGCACAACTATACACAACAACAAACAGAGAAATAATAACAATGCATTGGCAGTAGCTGTTTGTTTAAGTGTTTTGCGGTTGATGATTGATGCACGAGCTGAGAGTGTGACTAAAACTTTTGTTCATCAGCCTGCTTCAGTGATCAAACAAGTGCATTCCAGCACATTTGCACAGGCTTGAAATTACATTTAGGGATAAACACTTAAGGTCACCCTATTAAAAGAGGATTTTTAAGGTTTGCTGCATTTCTGCTCTTTGTCACAGAGGAACTACAGCCACAGTGTAAAGCCCTTTAATGGATGTGTGTGTGTGTGTGTGTGTGTGTGTGTGTGTGTGTGTGTGTGTGTGTGTGTGTGTGTGTGTGTGTGTGTGTGTGTGTGTGTGCCTGGCCCAGTTTAAGCTTCATGTGTTCATATGTGATTCCGGTATATTAGGTCAATGGCCTGTGTGGCTCTTGGCAGTGTCTGGCGTGTGTAATGGCACATTGTTCTAAGCGCAGAATGCCCCACTTTTGTTCTTCTTTTATGCGTTAAATTACAGTGAAACCTGCATTATCACTTTACTAGTGCTTTAATCTGTTTGTTTTAAGTCTTTAAACCCATCTGAGGGGATGATCGCTCTTTTGTGCAATTAGTAGCCTTTTCAAAGTGGCGGATTTGGAGCTGTGTTTTTATTCAAAGTGCTTGAGGCCCTGCGGTGGTAGATTAACACTGGAGATATGGGCAGGTTATACGAGCACTGATAGCAGGAATAGAAAAGGAGGTTGGCAGCAGGGTAGGATTCTTGTACAGGCAAATGGACCTGCGAGGGGGGAATAATGGAATTTGCTGGATTAAAAAGAGAGGAGGGGAGGGCCGGAGGTTAATGCGCTGGGTGATTGTGCATTACCCCGCCGCTCATCCTCGCCTTACATGGCTCTGTGTGACATCCACTGCCATCAACAACATTCCCACCATTACATTAGCGGCCCGGCGTATGCAATATGCCAAATTGCTTTTTCAAAGTTGTTTTCCCAGTTATTCATTATATTCATTTCATTTGTGGCTCGGATCTGTTTTTGTGGAATCACAGTGTCTGCTCTTCTGTTTTAATCCCCCAAATGTAATGCCATAAGCTGTGAACAGATATCTGGGCCATATTCACAAGTGAGTCCGCTCACTGACACAATGCCGGACATATTGGAGGTTTGGAGGGAGCAGGTGCTTTGGGGATCACGCAGTAACAGGTGCTTGTTTGAGCTGCAAAACAAACTAGAACTTTTTTCTTTTTAAATGTGAGGCATCTCAGTATCCATCCTTATACACTCACAGTTAGCTGGTCGGTGACAGCTACAGATGACACTGAGTAAGGATCAGCTAGTGTATAACATCTTGTCTATGACACATGTCAAATTATTTACTGGTTGTGAAACTCTGAAACCAAATGAACATTATATTCACATCTATTTCACAACAGAAGAATTATGTGTCCCATATGTTTAATTCTGAAGCTATTGTCGGTACACATTTGTATGTTCCATATACACTACCACTTACTAAAAAATAGTAATATTCTGTATATGGGGAACAAAGCGCTGTATTATATTTCAAACAGACAAAAAGGACAAAGATTCCTCTCAACTACAGTTAAATAAGAAAATAAGAAACCATCATCACTGAGAAAAGAAACTGGAAGCTTAGCATCAAAAGATTGCAGATTTAAACAAACAGGTTCATGCACAATAATGCCTGTAACAGTCTTGAAAATAGAAACAAAATCTTGACATCCCAATATCTATACGTCATACAGTAAATCTCTTTCAGTTTCATGTCAAGTGAAGTGATATGTCCAAATGTCCCGTGCAGCTACGTTGAATTTTAATAGCAAACTTTAACATATATACCATAATCTGTGTCAGTTTCACAGAATCAAAGAACAGCAGCTTTCCTATTAAAACCACAAATTTGTAATTATCATTGAGGGAGATACCGATTGCTCAGCTGGCAATAGTCAGAGCTCTTAAACCTTTAAAAAGGTACTGTTAAAATTTCTGAAGAAAACAATCAAGGACTATGTTTGGGAGGGGGCAGAAACTCCTACAAATGCACTGCTGGCATACAACTTGTACTTCAGCGTCTGTATTACAGAAACTTCTTATCTCAAGTCATATAATATCTGTCAAGTCTCGGACAGGATTATGGACTTAGAACCTTTTTGTAATACAGCTCCAGGTGTCCAGCACATCCACTGACACTTGCTGCAGACACTTCTCTTCCAAGCAGGTCATTTCATCTCAACACGTACGCAGACAGACAATTAGTCCACTACAGTCTGCCTCTTATCAGGCAGCGGTGGATGACACCTCTCCAGTGTGAGGAGACAGTAATCTACAACGCCTAAACAGCTCTGTCAGCATCCATACAAGCAGTCAGAAGTCCCCGTCTCGCAAATGTGTGTACACGTGTATGTTCATACTCTGCCGGGGCCATTACACAGGGTGTTGGCTTAGCAACTGTCACAAACACTTCACAGCCACTCAAGAGCCAGAGACCGAGGCACCTTCAATGCTTACTTAAAACCCTGCGAAAAAACACAACCCAGAAACATCCCATAAACTTTCAAAACTGAAAGAAAAACAATGAGCAAGGACAGCGTGTGATAACAGGCCGGGCCGCGGGGTGTGAATCAGAATTGGTGTCAAGTTCAATTGAAACTGTAAGGCAGAGGAGCCTCACCAAGCTTATATTTTTACTGGGTGTGTGTAAGTGTGGCTGAAACAGCTGTAATCCTCTGCTCCACCATAATAACTGCAGCAGAGAATCTGCTAGCAGCGCAGGAGTTGCCACATCACAGTGGCCAATGTGTGTGTTCACGGCTAAAGTAAGAGTGTGTCCTCTTGCCCGCGGCCCGTGGATGTTTATAAAGAGACTGATTAAGGACTTTGGTGTGTTTAGATCTAACAGGATGTATGTGAAGTTTGCATGTTTCAGTGATGGCCTCGACATGAAAGGCGATACTCGGTGGGCAAAACCTTTGCAGCATTGTTGGTAATTTGTTAAGTCGCAGAGCAGGTTCTTCTAATGATTTTCAGGACTGACTTTAAAGAAGTGAATTTGTCTGAGTAAGATATCTTGCCCATTATACTTGGGAAGACTTTAAGAGGTTTTTTAGAGGTTTAACATTGGCCCAGTCAAAGAAAATGCATTAAGCAGCTTGTAAAAACAAATAATAAAAAAAAAAACACTTATGTTACGTAGTCATTACAGTATGGATGCCTTTTGAACTTTGTTTAAGGGAGTGGTAACCAACCTAGGGCTAGGGACCCCACTAGTGGTCGCCAAAGCTTCACAGGGCATGGTGAGGCCTTCTTGATTTTAAGGTGTGCTAGAAAAACTAAAACAAACACACACTGTAGGCATATATCTCATCCTTTGGTTCCATTCTGTTAATGTAATGTAAAAGTAAAATAAGTAAATTGTCTAAAGTCAAGTGCAAGGAAAACAAGAAAAACACAGACTTTGGAAAAAAAAAAAAAAGGCCTATTAAGTGTATATATTTGTAAAATTGAAATAAAAAAATAAATAGATAATATAGACAGAGAAATGGATAAAAAGTTCCCTGAGTTCACTATTTGGGTTCATTGTACAGGTTGGACATAAAATATTGCACTGAGTCATCAAGGTTGGGAACAACTGGTTTTAAGGTATTTGTTTAATATACGATTTAATCTCCAACCTGTAAATAACAGAGGTCATGGTAACTGAAATCACCCCATTCATTAAATTATCAAAAGGTCTCCCTCTTGTGGCCACATCTCACATTACGTCAGGATTTATGGACCTGGAACGATGACGTGTTTAAATTAAGTTTCTTTACAGAGTTAACAAACAGTGGACCAATATAAGACAGGCTACCGCTACATTCAAATGCAGGGCTGTGCAGAACCCACATACCTAATGGTCCACTCCAGCCCACTGCATGAATGAAAATTAAGTAATTAATTCCAGTTTTTCAATAAAATGCAATGCACTATTGTGGTTCAGTTCCAAATAAATGTAGGTACGTGAAGGCAGCTGTGGCTCAGAGGAAGAGCAGGTCGTCCTCTCATCGGAAGGTTGTTGGTTCGATCCACCGGCTCCTGCCGCCACATGTCGAAGTATCCTTGAGCAGGATACTGAATCCCAAATTGCTCCCGATGCCGTGGATCGGTGTGTGAATGTGTATGAATGAGTTAGTTTCTGTTCGATGGACTTTCCCATCACTGAGTGAATGTGTGTGAAAGGGTGAATGTGGCACGTAGTGTAAAAGCGCGTACATACGAGTACAGGTCCATTTACCATTTACCACGTAATTAAAGGTTTTGTCCCTTCGTAGATTGACAGATCTGGGCTGACTGAATGTGGAACCCCTGATCTATAGTTGAAATTATTTTTTCTCAGGCTGTTAATCATCTGTTCTGTAAATGGATGCTTCATTAATTGTCAACGTTTTCAGAATGTACTTCTTTACACTAAAAGAAAAGAGGTGTTGTTATTTATAGGTTATTATGCAGTGGCTTTACTGGTCCGACTATCTTGAGCCCAAACTGGGCCCTTGAACTAAAGTAAGCAATTGTCATTATTATCATTATTATTTAGGGATGCACAATGTTTTTCCGGCGATAAAAAAAATTATAATTACCATCTTCTAATGGCCAATTATAGGCCAATTTTGGCATTTTTTTATTTTAAAAACAAGTTCAGAAAAGAACAAAGATGGATGATTTGATATTCCATATTTCTGTTCTGACCAAATCTAACTGACAGCACTATTGTTTACAACAACAAACAACAGCTCTGACTGTTCAAATGTTCAGTAAAGTAGTTTCTAGTAAAGTAAATCAAATAACCTAACCAGTATACTTTGGCTTTCACAGAATACAAAGTCTATCAAATATTTTTCATAAGAATTCCAAATAAATTTTAAAAAAAACTGATAATTTCTTGGCTGTAATTTAATAATCCCAATAATTAAAAACATACATTTCCCATTATCATTATGCCGATAATTGATCCCAATAATAATAATAATAATAATAATTTATTATTATTATTATTATTATTATTAATGTATGATAGTTTGTAGGGCTGTAGTTTGTAGTGTTGCATTGGATTTTAATGTGTTTCCATGGATAGAATTGTTTGGAAATATCCACAGAGCTGATATGGATATACACTAAATATAGATGCTTACATATATTACATCAAGTGAAATAAGCATTCTGATAAATTTGGACTCGTCTATCTTTCATCAATTCCATTTTGCTGAACACAACAAAGGCAAAAATGTGACTGGCAGCATTGCTGTCAATGATAGATATATTCCCTATCAATAACTGCCCACTGTTAGTGTCAACTCATTCAGCTCATTTGTCCTCCTCTTGTGTTTTCTCTACAAGCTTTACTGAGAAAATAGAAGTGGTAAGTTCAACAGGATCACTGGACTTGTGTTACAGCCCTGAGCAGAGGGTAAGTGCTACTGTCTGAATTGAGTACGGTCCACATCGTGGTCAACACTGTCACCTAGTGGACAAATGTGTGCACTGCAATACAGTGCTGAGTTCAAACAGAGAACAGGGCCAAACCTAGCGCAGATGAGACACTGATTAATGTGATTCAAAACATTCATTTATATCAATTTTGATCACATTGATTGATTTTATTATTGATTTTTTTAGCATTTTTATTTCTCTGGTGCATTAGTCTCAAATTGCCTTACTGTTTACATTTCTTATTATCAGATAGTTGGGCATCTATGAAGCACTTTGACTTGCACTAGCCTGTATGAAACATGCTATAACGAATGTAATGAATCTCAAAGAATGCCTTTGACTACTAAATATATTACTAAATATTATAGCATTCAATTATTTACTAAAATGCAATGGATGTATATTCATCTGAATCCTTTATTAAAAAGACAGTATAGTGAATGTTAGTGTGACACAAATGTTCTTCTACGTAGCTGCTCTGACCGATAACCTTCACTGCACAGAAATACAACAGCTACATTTCATCATTTCTTCAATGTTTTTAAGCACTTGGTTGGGCAGTGGACATGTCCTTACAGGTCCAGGGTCAGCAAATGATTTGACCAGAGTTTGACTTTTGAACCCAGTAAGCAAGTCACACAATCAATTGTAAGGAAGGCAATTGTCCATCAATTGTAAGTCAATTGTAAGGATGATGTAGGAAATGCAAAAGTTCTGTTCAACAGTTGGTAAAGTTAGAGAGAAGAATATGCTCCACCAGTTCATAAACAGGCCTATTTTAGCATAGTTTATTGATGGACACACAATGTAAACAAATTCAATCTCTCTCTCACACACACCCACACCCCTTGCCTACCTTATCTCTCTCTCTCTCTCTCTCTCCCTCTCTCCCTCTCCCTCTCCCTCTCTCTCTCTCCCTCTCCCTCTGGTCGTTTTCGTTTGAGCCCGGTGGATTCAGAGGAGCCTGATTTTTATTTTTCCACATTATGTGCTCATGTACTACTCAGGAAAGTAAATCAATCAAATCAATTCAATTTTATTTATATAGCACCAAATCATGACAGAAGTTATCTCAGGACACTTCATGCAGGACTAGACCATATTCCTTATAAAATTACTTACAGACCCAACAATTCCCACAATGAGTTAGCATCAGTGGCAAGGAAAAACTGGCATATTAATTTATATATTGAGTCATTTATTTATTTTATTCTATTTTGGCAGTTGGGGTCTTACAATAAACTCATCTGTAAACTTATAACAGCGACAGAATTTGCATTTGAGTCAATGAGTTACTGTAGCAGACTGTATTTCATTTAAACACGAAAACTACTTCTTAAAACATTAACTTTGACTATAATTAGTCTAAATGTTAAAAAAGAAATGCTTTGCTTGTCTTTGGTGTTGACTTTTGAAGAGTCTGTCAGTCTTTGGTACTATACAACCTAGCTGTAGCAGAATATTGCTCTATAGTGACTCAGCTGATGAGATTTTGATCTGAATGTTTCAGCACACATGTCCACCTGAGTGGACCATTGTAAAGAAAACCTACAGCACAAAAGGTCCAGGTTGGAAATGTATGAGGTTGCAGTTTTGCAGGGACACTGAGGTGTATTGACTTACAGATACGCTCCAGATCTGCATCCCGTCAGTGTAGCCAATCATGAGGCAGAGAGGAGGTTCAGTCGTACCGCTGTGCATCTCCATGAACTCTGGGTTGCGGGCAGTGTCTGTGCGAACACAAAGCGAGACATTGAGTCAAGTTTAATAGGAGGATGTGTTAAATCATCCAACACTATGACAAACAAACCACAAATGAATCACATCTGGTGCTTTGTCATATTAAATATTTTATATAGACTTTGTTCATTATCACACCACTTTAGTTGATTTATTCTGCTCTGTTTGATCCATTTGCCTTACAAACGTCTTCTTTATATTCCTTCTCATCTCATTTCAGTTCTTTTTGTTGGTTTGTTTGTCGGATGTTCTGCATTTCCTTTTTAGCTTGAGAGGTTTAGGTCACAGCTCCAGATCATAATCTTATTCCACATTCACCACCACATTAATTTGTTCTGTGTATTGCTTCCTTATACATAAACATTAAAAGGGGGGGGTTTCGAGGGTACAGCTTAAAGTCAAATGGGGGTTAACTGTTAACAGCCGCAAACTGTCATCTGCAGTTGCCTCTATGCTACCAATGAAGCACAAGCCTGTTTCTCTATACTGTAAGTTGAACTTATCAAATAGGTGGAGTTCAACGCACCTACAATGCTGTCTTAGTGTTACTGCACGATGACAACAATTGGTTTGACATGAATTCAGAAAGCGATTCTAAACATTTGACATCAAGTGTTTTTCTTAATAAATGATACACTGATGGTGCAACAGAACCACTGGCTTAAAGGACCAGTGGGTTTGGATTGTTTTTTCAACAGTTTCAGACAGAAACCAGTCAGTGTTAACTAATGAGTCCATTGTAGTTAGAACTCCCTCTTTTTCAATACTCAAACAAACCAAACTAACATTGTCTGACAGTTTAAGACTCACCGTTGATGTCAGCTTTCTCAAATCGAACCCAAATGATTTTCTCTTTTTCATCTGTGGGAGGAGCCCCGGTGTATGCCTGCAGTTTGAAAGACAGAAAAGTGAGTGGGAAAAATATAGACAAAAACACCAGCCAGCATACCTAACACAAGTGTATGTACCAGAATCTATTAACCTCATGTAGTGTTTTTGTAGCAGAAATAACTCTCTCAACTTGCAAGTGTTTTTGGATGAAGGCTCGGGTATGCAGGAGTTCCCATCACAATTTATTGCTGTGTCCCAATTCCATACTACATACTAACTGCATAAAGTATGTCCTATGTATTCATTCATATAGGGAGTATAGAGTTAGTATACAAGAAATCTCTGCAATTTCCGTTGTGCACTGTATTAGGGAAAACAGTGTCTGTCGGCAGCACACTACACTTCCGACTTTGTTGAGTGCACTCTTTATAATTTTTTCACTTTCCTTTAGTGATTGGTCGGGCGATTAATCAGGCAGATTTTCTGGCATTTTAAGATAATTGGCATCGTCTACAGACACATCTTCAGGCAGCGCTTGTCTGTGTGGCTGCTGTGGAATGATATTCCCTTTGTGAGTTTTCAGAAGGTGGTGAAAATAGACAAAAACCTTTTAAAGGCCCCGGCTGTAAACGTTGGCCTAAATTTAGCCTCAGTCAACATCAACTTGACGTCACATTAAATACAATTCATGTTCTAAAATCTACAGCATAACCCACTGTATTTTTCTCTTTCATTAATTAATTAAACAACAAATGTTCAACAACATGTTCCTGGCTAAGATAACCATGTATATTAGAATGCAATGAGCATGGAATAATGGAATTATACATGACTTCTGCTCTATAACTATGGGCCATTGAAAAACCTTTATCAGTCAACTGCTTCTTTTCTAGTATGAACACTCACAATGTGCTGTACTGACTAAAATCAGTAGTGGCTGTTAGTATGTGGGAATATATGACAGAGGAAAGTTACCTGGGGGACCACATCCTGCAGAAAGGTCACCACACTCTCCATGTAGGACTGCTCCCTGTGACAGCAAAAAGCTCATGTCATCTCTAATGATAATGCATTATAGGACAATGCTCAAACAGGCCATCAATGTGTCATTTTTTTCACTGTTTTAGTTGGCTATGATATCACAGACATATACTATAGACCTTTAGTAAACAGATACATACATACAGTATTATAATTTAGGGATTTCTGATGAAATAATAACATATGTGTCCTTACGTAGCAGCTTGTGCTCGCACCAGAACCCCTCCAGCACAGCGACTCGGTCTGCGTGGAGAGTCCGAGGCCATTTTGTCTTCTCTTTATTTTATCCTAAAAAGGTAGAAAAAGACATTTTAACATGACAGAAGCATAAAAGCAAAAAGCTCTTAATTGATTTGCATTCATACTATCTTGTACTTGCACAGAAGAACAAATTGCACTGCAGCTTACAAGCTTTGGTATGAAATCCAATCTTCTCTGAGCAGTTACCATGTGGATGACAGGCAGCAGTTACTTCGCTTTGCTTTTTACATTTATGATTCAGCCACACTATGGATGTGCCATGTTAACCAGTTTTACATTTTGTTTAAGAAATGCTAAAACTAATGTGAAAAATACCCATCAAAATTGAACAGAGCCCAAAGTAACATCGTTAATTTCCTGTTTTGATTGAATAAAACCAAAAGATTTTCCATTTGCAGGATCGATGTTGGGCCTCTCATTCTCATTCACACACACACACACACACACACACACACACACACCATTACTATGGCTGCAACTAACATTTATTTTCATTCTTGAATAATCTGTGGATTAATCAATTAGTTGTTGGATACATAAAATGGTAAAAATGTTGATCGCTGTTTCCCAAAGCCCAAGGTGACGTCCTCAGATGTCTTAAAAAATATTCAGTTTACTGTCCTAGAGGACTAAAGAAATCAGATTTAAGAAGCCATCAGAGAATTTGGACTAATTGATTAATTGACTAATCATTGCAGCTCAACAAAAAAAAACCTGTCAACAAAAACTGAACATCAGAATTCATGAATATAGGATTTACAGGTGTATAAGACAGTATTTGTTTTAGATAGGTGTACCAAGTTACCTGGCACTGAGTATAAATTTGTACTCCAGTCTACACTACATTACTCAACTGTTCATGAAAACAGTCAGCAACCACAACAAGTCACACCAAACTAGACTCAAAACGTCATTCTTACTCATGTGCAGTAGGAGTACGTAGGTGGAATATTTCATACCAACAGATTCTCACAACTGAATCACTACTACTCTTCATGGTGTATTTAGGTAAAGGGAGACTGTGGGAAACAGCAGCTCTACTGGTGCAGATATGCAGATGTAGCGCCAAACTTTTGTGAAGAGGAAGCTAAGGCTGAGGGACAAACCATCGATTTATTTGTCAATCTACTTCCCTGCCATTGTGAGCTTAGAGTAGCAATCCAAAGACCACAACTGAGGAGAGAAAGTGAATGAAATGAGCTTCTAACAGAGTGAGATCACCTAGGAGAGCTGAAAGTAAAATGATTGCTCCTTAGCCTTAAAAGGAGATAACTGAGGTGTTGTAACATTTGATTCTCCCAGTCAATACTCTGTGTCAGTAAAGCCAGGCTGAACGGTCAGGAGGAGACCTTTCATCTGATCCTGAGCATGCTAATGGATTTCATGCACAGTGCTCTTTTAATTCACAGCTGGCCTGAGAGCACCTCAGGGTCCCCCTGGAGGAGCTGGAGGATGCGACTGCGGGAAAAGTCTGCTGCCATTATGTACTCCACACAGATGTCGATGATGGATGGATGCAGACTATGGGAATGTCAACCAAATCGAAACTTTAAAAGACCGTAGAATTGTGTGGCATCTAGAGGTGGAGTTGCAACTCACTGAATACAGCTGGCCTACCAAGCATGTAGGAAAAACTACAGTGGCCACAAAACTCGGACAAAAAACATGAAACTCCCTATCTAGAGTCAGTGTTTGGTTTGTCCATTCTGGGCTACTGTAGAAACATGGTGGTTCAACATGGCTGTAGAAGAGGACCTGCTCCCTCTGTAGATAAAAACGGCTCATTTTAAAGTAATGAAAACACAACGATTCTTATGTTCATACCCATGAATATTATATTTTTGACAATAAATCCTCATAAATGTTGGACACATTAAAGCTGCAGTAGGTTACTTCTTTAAAATAACTTTGTCCTATTTGCTAAACTTTCCCTTTATCCTGACAGTAGTGCATGAGAGATACTCACCACACCACCACAAGAAACTTTGCATAAATTGTGTGATTTGGAGGAATTTTTAGCTCATTATTTCCTGTTTAGGAAACATTTAAAGGAATTCTCTGTCTGTATGATGGAGTTTTAAAATACTTTTTAACAATCACACACATAAACACAAGAGTTGACCTGCTGAAATCAGCCTGCTCACTAATGAAAGAATGACTTCATGCACTTAAGCCACTTAGTAAAACAACATTCAGTGGCCATCTGTTTCAGTGTTTTGCAACGTGCAGGTAGTCCACTGTGTGTACACGGACACTGAGGGAGGACGTTACTTTTACACTTGCCAAACGTTATGCAACGATGTCCACAACCCAAGAGACGAGCTACATGCAGTTAACAGTGTTTCTATGGGCTGAGAGATGAGCTTCTCTGGGCTACCTTAGCCTCGCTTACATAGGCTAAACATTTATTCAGCTAGCTTGCACAACTAGCAAATAGCGGACCAATATGGTAAACAACTGTGACAACTGCCAAGTGAACACAACACCGCTACTGGCTAACGCTTAAGTTCTACTGCTAGATAAGGACCCCGCAGCTAACTTAGCTAGCTAGCATTAGCTGATAAAACTCCCCTGCAGTGATACAACGACCAAACTGAAGCCTTGAAGCGGGACAATGCGTTTGTCATAGACATTGTTTTAAAGCAGATATAGTTACGAACCGGTGCGGAGGACGTTCACTGTGGCTTTGCTTTCTAGACGTGTGTGTGGTGGTCTGAGGAGAGCTTCACAAAAAAAAACGTCAAAACACAAACAGACTAGATTTGCGGAACTGTGTTGTGTAACTGGGAGCCAATCAGAGCACAGAAACGTTTTCGTCAACCCAATCAGCCAACAGTGAGGGCGGGACTAAAGTCATGCACTAGCAGCAATTTGACAAAATAAAACGTCATGTGTTCAAACCGTTATGATCGCAGGATACTGCGGCTGTCATAAATAATAGAGGGGTGGTAATATATTACTGGTCCCGTTCGTTTGTATTGATGTGGCATAATTCTCAGTCTTGTGTTACTAAAAAAGAACACTTTGAAATGAGTCATAAACGTTATTTAGCAGCACATTTTAACAAAAGCTTTCAGTTTCTGGTTGGTGTTTTTGCCCTTAAAGGCTTGACAATATGGAGGATCTTCTTCTTATTCATGTTCAGTCACATCAATGCTTTGGCTAAATCTGCGCAGAGTACTTGACTTTAATACAAATAACATTTGTATTAATATCATTTGACTATCAACTTTAACTTAAGCTGGACACACTCTCAAAGGAAATGAATCACATATTTCATATATTTATCACACTGTGGGAATATATTTATTTACTTTATTATGAAGAACCAACCCTTCACTGTTGTGATGACGTCTCTGCTCAGGTTTAAGCTGGGCGGAGCCATGCTGGAGTAACATGAGGTCAGGAGCCAATCAGAACTGATGGAGGTGTAACTTCTCCCACCCAAACAGGTGCAAGGTGCAATAGTCTCATACTGTCCCCAGATGATTAGAATTAGGTAGAACAAGTGAAAACACCTGTGTGGGTGGCCTGTGGGCGTGTGATTCATGGCTCTAGGGATACTTTATGCACGTTATCTCATACACAGCCAGCACAAAAGCTTTTGAGCCATGTCTCAATCTCTGTTTGCAGTATGGGTCTTACAAATTGTTACAATTATGAATCATATCCACATCCACTTCGTAAATTGTTTCACTCTGCTGGGAGCACAAGTGGCTTCGTATCAAGACTCTACTGGTTCTTATTGCAGCACTCTTACAGACCTCTGGCACTGGACACGATATGAAGGAGAGATGTTCCAGATCTGAAACCTACATTTGACTGGGATAAAGTGTGGGTCAGTGTGGGCTTAGCATCCAGAAACCCTGATCATCAGCAAATACATTATAATTCTATACATAGGATATATTTAACTCCTAGGAAGCTTCATTTGATGAAGGTTATTAATGATCCTAGGTGCACTTTCTGTTCTTCCAAAGTGATTGGCAGTTATTTTCACATGTTTTGGGAGTGTACCCCAGTGGCTGAATTTTGGAAGATGGTTGCCTTTAACCTTTTTAAGTTGTTTAAGATTAGATTGCCCTGTTCGCCTGCTACACTCATTTTGAATGATTTGTCAAGGTTTGACACTGGACAAGAGAAGAGCATTGCTGGCTGGACTTAGGGCTGCAAAAAAAACTACCGTAGTTGCCACACGTTGGAAACCTCCACATTCACTCTTTTTTCGAGCATGGGTTTTAACATATTTGGATATTGTTTATTTGGAGTTGTCGACAGCTAAAGTCCACGAAAAAGAGTCAGCAATAGAGGCTTGGCATTCGCTCTTAACTATCCTCCGTGGGTTTCAGGTGTAATATGTGACTGAGATATGGAGTTGTGGATCCAGTGGGTGGGTGGGTTGTATTTGGGGTTGTGATTTTTGCTTTTATTTATTTATTTGTATTATTTTATTTTAGTTGTTTATTCATATGTACTGTATATATGCATATGTATAGGTATGTATGTGAATATATATTTTTTTGCTCTATTTTTGTAACGTGCATATGTATTCTGTATTTTCCTTTAAAATAAAAATTTGATCACAAAAAAATTATGAATCCTATATTTCATTTATTAAATTTATAAATATAATCAGAATTATTAACCACTCCCTATTTCATATTTAATTTAAACTTCTTTTGTCTGTTGTTGTCTCATGCCTTGCTTATTTTTCGTGTCTTTTGTATTATTATTGATAGAAATGTAATTTCTTTTCTCAGAAATTCTTGAAAAAACTTGTTTTTATGGTGTTATCGTTAATAAATGTAGGCGGTGCTTAGGTTAAGTTACTCTGTTATTATTATTGAAGGTATATTATGATTTATATTTAAAACTGTACAATGAACCCAAATAGTGAACTCAGTAACCACAAGAAGCTTTGCATAATACATGTGATATGATACGTTTTGAGCTGATTATGTCCTGTTTAGGACACTTTTAATGGAATTATGGTCTTTATTATGTATTTTTAAAATAATTTTAACATTGTAACAATCATGCACACTTAATAGGCTTCTTTCCTGCCGTATTCAGTGTTTTCTTGTCCCTGATTCTTGGCCGTTGTTCTATTAGACAATTTACTTAACAATTGATTTTACTTGAAATTTACTTTTGTTCAAAGAAGTAAACCAAATGCTGAGATTTAGGCCTACTGTGAATAAATTAATTTTGTTTTCTTGCCTGCCTTCAAATCAAGAAGGCCTTGCGAGCCCCCATGAGGCTCTGCCCCCGGTTGGGAGAATTCAATTTTAGTTTTACACAGAAATAAAAGAAATCCCTTTCTTATTCTGAACCCCAAAACATAACATGTATGTTATATACATATATATGCTTAGTTCATCATCCATTATGCAAAATTATATTTTTATGACTTATTAATGCACTTGAAACAATTTATGTGTATATATTATATATTTAAGGTAACTACAAGCTGAATTTCATTATATAACCATGTGTAAATGACCATGAAGTAACTTTGATTATTGAATATGCTTCATAGAATGGATTGTAACTGTGAGTGAAATAAAACTTAAATGTTCTCATAAGTAAATCTCCATGATCATGATAAGCTTCTCTCTCTAAAAACAATTGGCAAAAGCAAAAGCTTTTGAGATCAAGCAAAGGAATTGAAAATGATACACATAATAATGTAATTGAACATTCATTTTGATTATTAAATACATGTTTGTTGCATCCATTGCTGGTTTGAGACTATTTTATAATATGCAGACTCTATTGTCAGGCAAGTACTAGTACATGCATGCATTGTGCTGATGTTCATAATGTTTAACACACTATTGTTTCTATTGTTAATATTGGTCCTAATGAATTATGTTTGATAAGCTAAACTGTGTGGACTTTCTTGCTGTCCATACATCACAATGAATAAACCAAAATGAACGAGCCAATTATATAATTAACAAGATAATTAAATATATAGTAGAATAACATAAAACAAATATGTTATTTATATCCATATATACACTGAAAAAAAGTCTGTTGAATTAACATATAAAAAAATGGACATCGGTTGCACATATTATATTCATGTTTAGTCAAAATGATTAATTTCTATTTAATATACTGAATTCTTATATGTAAAACCAACATAATTTTATTATGTTAATTAAAAGTTTTTCATTAATGTTAATCATATTCAATTATTCTGTGATGACCCAACATAATTTTTTGGGGTTAATTTTAAGTTTCCCTTTTATGTTTACTGTATTCAATTCTTACCTATTAAAGTGTAATATATTGTGTATGAACTCTACATGCTAAAATGATTTCTGTACGCTGATTTCTCCTGAATCTCTTACCTACAGCATTTACTCCTGTAACATTTTCAAAACAAATAAGGCAAAACAAAAACGTTTAGTTTAAAACTGTATTGTCATAGAACAGTAGGTTCAGTGCAATGTATACACTAACACATATGCATACATACACTAACAAATCGCATATTAGAACAAAGCACCCTTTTCTTTCACAAGAAACACTTGGTACCCTAGCTATCAACAGTGTGTAGTAAACATTCATGACTGCTACAACCTGAGGCAACACTGCTGGTCCTTAAAACACCTTCTGAATTACTTCTAACCAGCATCAAGAGAATAATACAATGACCAGATTAATGCAGATATGTCTTGCAAAATATGTGCAAAAACACATTTACTAAATTTACAATTTTCCAACAAAATAAAAGAACAAATGTAAGAAAACCGTTATTGTCCTGGCAAATGCAGATCCAGTGCTTGAAAGATTAAATTTTCATCTTTAACTGCAAGGGTTTTGAAAATAAAGTGTAATAAAATTAAAAGAAATGGCTTGCTTTCCCACCACTACTACATTTCAGTTAAGAATGTGCAAAAACCAAAAATCACCTCCAAATTTGAAAATAGGGGAAACTGTTGGAGCTCTATTCAACACACATCTGACAAATGCTGACACCTAAATGAGAAAGGCACATTTTGCAACACATGACCCTGAGAAAAAAAATCTGCTGAAAACAATACACAACACTTGCTATAAACAAGAACATACATTAAGGCAGCACAAGTGAAATGCGTAAGTGTTAAAAGTCCAGTCCAATGAAAAAGCAGCAATGGTCCATATTCCAAAAGAAGATAGGGAGACTTTGTTGTATCCATCTTGCCATTAAATGGCAACAGCTCACTGTTGGAGTCTGTTTTCTTTGACAGTGTATTGCCGTCCAGCTCCATCACAACCTTCTGGAGCACTTCGAAACACTACTTAAGTTCAGGAGGGTAGTTGAGGTTTAAGGCATACATTAGGCCAAACAGCATGGCAACAGCTAAGGCAACGTTGTCCAAATCATGCAGTACCACCTGGCCCTCCAGGACAATCCCAATGTCCTCTGGTCTATCAGCGGCATCTCTGAGATTCACAACACATATTCCCAGCGTGGTCTCCTCAATGGCTCCTTGGTGCAGGACTTCGTCTGCTGCCTGCAGAGTGTAAAATCACAAAAAGAGTCATATGAGAGGAAATAAAACACTTGCCCTAAACCTTAACTCTATTATGCCCTGAAAACATCATACTATTTAACTAGTATCTGCGTTAACTGATAATTGTTTCCTCAAATAATGGCCCGGGTCTTTATTTACCTCAGCAGCAAAGGATACCAGGTAAGGTTATGACCACATTTTTCCTGATTGGAGTTTTATTTTTTATATTAACTGTCTCCAGTAGTCCTATTTTTTTAGTTTTGTGTTTTATTATACTTAGTCTACATTAAAGCAGATTTGCATTAGCATTAATCATCGTTCAAAATGTGGATGTTTGAGTTTGTAATGGTTAAGTAGCTCGGACCTACTTGCAACGGCTACTGAACACCCTTTACACTGCCACCTTCACTGGGGGGGGAGAGAGAGAGAGAGAGAGAGCGAGAGAGCGAGAGCGAGAGAGAGAGACAAACAAATCAGAGGACATACTAATGTTAGATATTAAGAACAGCCAGGTTAGATTCAATATTATAAACACCATTTTTAAACAGTTATAACAAATAGTGCACTTTGTAACCTTCATGAAGGTAGGATTTATTACAGGACTATATCAGACTGAATTAGTTTCAACCTAAAATTGTAGCAACAAAATAAAAACATTTGTATATTACTTACCATTTACTACAGAGCTTTTGGTACTGTGCTCAAAGCAAAGCAGAGATTTAAACTGGAACACCACCTTATACCTATCCAGAAAACAAAAACATTTTAAAATGAGTTTATTATTTCTACAAGTTGGTGAAGCATCCTGATTGTGACACAGCTTATCTAACTGTCAAAGTTAAAAAAAATCTTGAATAAACAAACTTGATTTTAGATTTAGACATTTTCTTGCCAATGCAAATCTCAAGCAGCACATCCAAGTTTTAATTCCAACACAGAAAATGTTGAAAAGAATTACTAAACATTTAACATCAGGAATAAGGACATGGTAATAATGGCTCTAATCAGAGTAATGCACCTCCTCTACATGGATTTACAGGAGATTACTGAGGACGTTTGAGGAATGTCTATGTATTGTAAATAAGTGTCAACTGCACCATGCTGATTTAACCGAGCAGTTTAACATTACCTTTCTTTAATTTCTTCAATCCACATGATGGTGACATTTTCAGAGGACTTTTGTAAATACTCATACAGATCCCTTGGTGTTTGTAGGTCACTGCCTCCGAGGACATACATGTCTGCCTTACGCTTCAGCACTCCTCCCACACCGTCAGGTGCACCCTTCCCATGGGAACGCTCTGAAAAGTTCCAGGTGATCCTCTTGAATCCCCATGTATAGGGAATGCAGCTCATGAGGAAGCAGTTTGATCGATTCCGGTACTGGGTTGCTGGCCCATCACTGAGGACATGCAGGGTGTCGATTGCATTTTCATGTCTTCTTCGGAAATCATCAATAACTGGCTTGACGTGTGCCCACACGGCACGCTCATCATGACGCAAGGACTGGGAAATGGTGGCATAGCACTGGGAGCCACTGACTGAGTAGGCAACTCCAGTATGCATTGTGGCCTGCTGTCTATTGCCACCAAAATGAAAGGCCTGAATCTCAGTGTTGAGTTTACACGCATAGTTCTCTGAAAAGTCTATGTGTAAGACCATTTCATTGGGATGGATGTTCTCCTTGATGTGTCTGAACTGTTTCACCTGATGAAGCCAGTTTAACTGATGACTCGCAATTGCATTGAGCCTCTGGTTGAACACACCAGTTAGCTCTCCTACTGTCCCCCTCTTCTTTTTCTTCACCCAGTTCTTGTAGCTTCTCTCTCCCACTACAACATCCTGCTTCTCCCACTGCTCCCATGTTGCAGTGTCAGCTGGGTTGTGGTCCTGCAGGTTGGGCTCATCATAACAGCACTTTGTGCACACACGTTGCATGCATTTTGTATTTTCAGTATCACATGTGATACCTGACAGCAGTGCTGACAGGCTTTTTGTCGTGATCAAGCCTCTGCTTGAAAGAGCATCAATTAGGAGCGAGATGTTGGCATGTTCCCAGCAGGCACATGTATTGCGGTCGCTGGACCTAGCCTCTGTGACATAAAAAGGTTTATACCTTATGAACTGTCTGTAGGACAGCTGGTGCTTTTTTTCACATTTTTGCATGTAGGCCTTATGAAGGTCCTTTAGTGAGGAAGTCAGCACTCGTCTTTGTCTTTTCTCTTTCCTGCCTACTGTGTCCTTCTTCCCAGGAAGCACAGTGCTATTTTCATCTAACAGCAGGAAGGATTCCACCTGAGCCTTTTTGTCATTTATTAACTTTTTCCTGGGTGGCAAGTGGTATTTTTCTCTGACTGTTAGTTTTGTTACGTTTTGCCTCACACTTTGTTTTCTATATTTCTCAGCCCTCTTCTTTTCTTTGCTGACTTTTCTCTGGAGCCTTTTGTTCTGATCCTTCAGTCTCCTTAATGATTTATTCAGCTTCTTTAGTTCTTCAGTGTGTGGGCTTGGTGGTGGTGGTGACGTAGGTGGGCTTGGTGGTGGTGATGTAGGACCTGGGACTTGACCTGGGTCTACCTGGATGTCTCCATCATAGATGGAGTTATCTGGGGGAGTCATGTTAAGTAGTGCATTTAAATTTCTTCTTTTGGCTCTATATTTTGTTTGGGAATTTCTCCATATCTCCCTCAGCTTCTCTCTTCTTGACGGTGGGAGAGTCTGGATCCTAAATTTAGGCATCTCCCCTTTCTGTTTCTTTTCTTGATATCTGTTAACAGAGTAACAGAATGGTGTGAACGTTTTAACAGTTGTTCAACATTGTATATTCTCTTCATTTCATAACTGCGTTCCTCTTAATTGCACTGCCTACAGTGTTCTACTCCAATGATATTTAAGCTATCATGTATTGCCAGGCTTCAAGAAATCTGCCTCAAGGCCTTTTGAATGAACAGTGAAAGCACCCATTAAAACCCTGCCTCAGACCTTCCTATTGGTCAGCGAATGGAAACAGACAGTTGTTGTTTACTTTTCTTTTCTTTTCCTCAGCAACTCCTTTCTCTTTGCAGGGTGTGAATTCAGTCTCTCCCTGTATCTCTTTGTCCTCTCTGCACTTGTCATCATTATCTGCCTCAAGTTGACAAAAGAAAAGGGAATGTATGGTTTGAGATTAAGACAAAACATTGTTTAGACTTAAACAGTATTCTAAGGTTTCTGTGAAGGGGTCTGCTATGTCTGTCTGATAAGCTAGAACTCTGTATCACCGAATAAAAATAAACTAAACTAAACACAATCGACTGTGGATAATTACAGCTTTTATGTGATGATGGACCCAAATAAATGTTTAAAAGGACAAAACATACATTGGACTTTGTTACTTATTGTTATATCTGCAGGAAATTACAATTCATATCATATAGTGTGACAATCAAATCATATGTCTGCTTGTCACACCATATGATGTTTTCTGCACTTAGCACAACCTTGAGTCTTGTAGCTACACATTAGCATACTAACAACATGCTAGCTATAACAAAGCAGCATATATTTACATGTAATTATAACAAAATAATACAATTTCTTTTGCATTTTTATGAAAAATGTGTCACACCAAAAAACATCTGGAAGTGGGACTTTTGTCAGAGTGCCAACAAGATCTGATTTATTGTAAATATAAAAATGATAACTCACCTCAGGTTGTACAGTAGCAATACATTGCTAGTACTGTACAACCTTGCTGAAGAAGGTCCTCTCCTTCCCAAGGGTGTCAAAATAGTTGCCCGTTGAAATATCCCCAAATAGTGTCACACCATATGATTTTGATTTGTGTGACAAAATATTTTTGATTAGAACTGACTCAAAACATTATGCTTGGACTTTGAAAAGAGTAGGCTCACAAATAGACATCTGTATTATTTTTCTCTGTTTTTTTGAGAATTCTTGCATTTATTTTTCTTAGTTTTATTCAAGTTCTCACTTTGAGAAACAAGTGCCGGACAGTCACACCATATCAGTTTTGTTATGTTTGGTTGAAAATTCTGAAAGAATTAGTGATGAACTGTTTTAATGTTGAGTATGTTCACATAAAGCATAATGTTCTGCACAATATTGAGAAGGTTTTTGGCAAATATATTTTTTAATCATACATGTTTGACGCTGAAGACAGCAAAACTACCATGTCACGTCATCCACCCGACTACGTCTGTCTTTGACTAACATACGACAAAGTTTAATTACCTTTACCGTGTGAAGAGCTGTCCAGACAGTTGAATTCCTCCGACCGGATTGAAAAAATGGCGCACATGGCCAAGTTTTCTCTCAAAAATCTGCTCTTAATGGGGAGAGTTTCCAGACGAAACATAACAACTTCCTTTGTTCATAACATGATTGAGACTTAAAAATTAAACATCCCTCTAGATTACAAGAATTCTAAACGATTGATATATGTTCAGTGGAAGAACATAAATAAATTGTGTTATGTATACGAACTGTTCACTTGTAAAGTGAACAACCACCATTTCACCCCTTTTTCAGTGTACAGTAAGTATAGTAAATAATTCTGCAGTGCATTTTTGGAATTTACGTCAATGGGAATGTGGCGAAACGAGGGTGGGATGATTACTAAATTATCAGATGATCTTTTCTAGTTTATTTGTTACCAACAACGCCACCTTGGGTTAGGGCCCAAGGACCCGTATTAAAGGTCAATTATCACCGCTTACAAAAGGACACTCCGGTTCGTTCACTCAGGGAGGGCAGGAGACAGAGTTCGATGATTACATAAAAAATTTTATTGTGTAAATTAACACAAAGTTTGGCACAAACGAATAATAGGAGACTGGAGCCCAACTAGGGAAGGGAAGGGGTATTGGCTGAGGCTTACCGGCTGGAGGAGGGGTGGGCAGGGGAAAGTGACGTCCAAAAAAAGAAAGGAGAACACCCCACTCACACAGCAAAAACGTGACGTGCACTCAAAGAAAATCTTGAACGAGGCTCACGCACACACAAGGGATCACCACCACCCTCCAAGGGAACCACCACCACCACCACCACCACCGTCGGCCTTCAGCTCTAGGTGAAGATAAGAGGCACAGTTAAGAGGGCTCACAGTTAAAACAAACAGTATCGCTTGACATAAACAAACTACTGAATAATCAACGAACTGAAGACTATTGATATACATTAATCAGAAATCAATCAAACCAAAAGAAGAAAATTTAAGAGTCTGGCCAGAGTTATCAACTCAACAGTTAACCATAATTAACTTGAACTTTGAACTCAAATAAAGGAAGGCTCAAATTGAGAAGTTCCCCTCCCAAATAGAAATTAAATAATTACAGTAAACTCCTTAACTAAGCAAAATTACCCAAACAAAACAATAAGCAACCAAACTATTAAAAAGTTACTCAAAAAGAAATTATACCACTACTAAAAAAATAAATAAACATATACACCACACATTGGCAGATTACCCTTAAAACACACATGCACACACAGTCCAAACGAGTGGCTGAGAGTCCCAGCGGAACTCGCAATGGCCTACCCGAGCACCAACCATACACACACCACACAATCCCACACACAGCAGCAGCGGGAAACAGGGTCAGCAGCAGGAAGCAAACAGACAGCCGACAGGACTTTGAACCAAGCCAACGAAGCAACAGTAGCAACAAAGTAGTAGTGACAGCCGAAGTAGCAGCGGCGACAGTGAAGCAATAGCAACGAAGCAGCAGTAGCAACGAAGCATAAACTCCGGTCCGGTTAATTTGCATCCTGTCCAAAGAGGGAGAGGGGTGAAGAGGGTCGGCGTAGCAGGGGAGACAGCCACCACGTATCATGCGATCAGCAGACTGTTAGAGGGAGAGGAGCAGAAAGGGGGCTCAACACCTGACTAACAGCAATTAACAACAGAAGTTCAGCATGACTACCTATGCCGCCACGGAAAAAAAAAAAAAACCGAGGATGGAGACATCGGATCTGTTAAAAGGAGTTACGGTTTGAGTTAAATGAAACGCTGACGAACGTACACCAGCACCACGCTAAGATGCGCCTACCTGTGCTGAGGCGAGCGGCGCACGCCATGGCCCGGGAGTAGGCGGACCGAAAAGGCAGGAAACGAGAGATCAGGAGGAGGGACACGGCCTACTTTTATCCCCTCGACATGAACAATGATTGGCTAATAAGCCAGAGAGGGCGCGGTGAAGCAGAAGACCGTGTTCCACATGGCAGTGGTGCCTCGTACCACGACAGGAATTTAAATAGCAGCAAGATACAAGATAACAAGATAATGATGATGTTACATAAACTATATTTACCACAATTCTCCTCTTCCTAAAAACCAATTGAATGGTTCATAAATTCAGATGAGAACATGAAGTGTATCAATGTCTGCCTCCAGGCCAAAGCGTCCCAAATGAGATTTCTTTGCTCAAATATGAATCAGATCAGTTTTTGTGGCAGATCAGGATTTTTTTTAGTTATGTGACATTTATGTTTCTCTAGATTTACATTTGTCATGTCCCAACTTTTTTCTGCTCTTTCTAAAAAACAAATAGGAGAAAAGAGGAACCAGGAATTTCAGCCTTAAGAAACAAAGTGAAGTAAAGTTTTCAGCACCAGAAAGATACATATTACATGAAGTATATTTACCTTTAAATTGAGAAACATACTTATGCCTCCAACCCTCTCCTCGTCTCTCTCTAAACTGTAAACAGTTATTATAGTGGTTAAAAACTTATCAGGTGAACAAAATAATCATGTATCATTAAATTAATTTGAATCACGTAATTAAGTGTTCTTACCTTTAGAACTTAAGAGCATTTAAACACCATTTTACCTCAAACTCCCATTACAAATTACTTGAAAATGAAATTTAATTTAAATGAGTGATTGAAGTTGCTATTTATTCCAACGTTGTTATCCTAACTTGCAGTGGATAATGTTGTGCCACTTCAGTACCTAGTCTTGGGGCGCCAGCACAACAGATTTTCTTGTTCCTCACTTGCTGATTCTAGTAATGCCTTTACTTGTTTCTGTCAGTGCAATTAACCTTAATTCACAAGGTTAATGCACTCAATATTAACATCCTTTTATAAGGAATCTTGAGGTAAGATAGAACACTGAACTTTATCTAAACTACGAGGTAGGGAGTAGACTGTCCCTCCTCGAGACACCCAAGGGGATTATTCTGCCCCAGTGAGAACATAGTCCTTGAAAGTGGTGGGTGTCTTCCTAACTCACAGCGGATAACAATGAGCCATTTTAGTAGCCAGTTCAGGGTTGCCAGGACAACAGTCTTGTGCAAGATTATCAGGCTCCTGATTTGTCGAGTCTTGATATGCCTTTATTTGTGCCCATCAGGTCAGTTGATATCACTTTACCAGCATAACTCACTCAATATATACATTGTTTCCTAAAAATCTTGAGTTAAAATAAAACACTGAACTTAATGTAAACTACGAGGTAGGGGGTAGACTGCCCCTCCTCGAGGCACCGAAGGGGATTATTCTGCCCCAGTGAGAAAATAGTCCTTTATAGAAGTGGGTGCCTTCCTAACTTGCAGTGGATAATGTTTTGCCACGTAAGTACCCAGTCCAGGGGTGCTAACACAACAGTCTTGTGCCGGTTTTAATTGTTCCTCATTTGCTAATTCTGGTAATGCATTTACTTGTTTCTGTCAGTTCATTTGACCTTATTTCAAAAAGTTAACACACTCAATATTGACATTGTTTTCCAAGGAGTCTTGAGTTAAGATAGAACACTGATCTTAATCTTAAATACGAGGTAGGGGGTAGACTGCCCCTCCGCGAGACACCCAAGGGGATTATTCTGCCCCAGTGAGAACATAGTCCTTGAGAGAGTTGGGTGCCTTCCTAACTTGCAGTGGATAATGTTGCGCCACTTCAGTACCTAGTCCGTGGGCGCCAGCACAACAGTCTTGTGCAAGATTATCTGGCTCCTGATTTGTCGAGTCTTGTTATGCCTTTATTTATGCCTATCAGTTCAGTTGATATCACTTTATCAGCATAACTCACTCAATATATAC